TACTTTGCAGAAAAAAACCATCTGAGATGTGACTGTCATCACTGTGTCATATTGGGCTGCGTAAGTGTGTGTACTGCTGAGTCTATTTCATACATTCTGATGATCAGTGTATGAGACAGAATGGTGGGTTGGGGCTGGAGTGTGGATGGAGCACGTTTCATACAGGAGCTCTCAATATACTCATCTATTGCATACTAACCAAAGTGATGCACCCTCAAAACCAAAAGCATCTTTCATTATCTTTCATTTTTCCTTAACACATAGTAGAGTTTACCATAAACAGGAGATGCTAATAAAACCAACTTTGGAGCTCAAAGAAGAGATTTGGTTTGATTTCCTACGACTGGTGGAGAACATCAGAGGCCAGTTCTTTTTTTTTTTTTTTTTTAATATAGTTTATTGTCAAGTTGGTTTCCATACAACACCCAGTGCTCATCCCAACAAGTCCCCTCTTTAATGCCCATCCGCCATTTTCCCCTCTTCCCCACCCCTCATCAGCTCTCAATTTGTCAGTACTTTTATTTGTAAGTTTTTATTTAAATTTCAGTTAACATGCAGTATAATGTTAGTTTCCAGGTGTACAATACAGTGATTCACCATTTCCACACGACACCCAGTGCTCACCACTTCATCGAGGTCAGTACTTATATACATTTTTTCTAAGGTGAAAAAAATTCATATTTAGCTTTAGCCAGCTGGACTCAGTTGAGATGATCCCAATTTTGCTGGCAACATCCAAAAAAGCATCATAGTTAGGAGCCAGTCAAACATATGCTTTCTTTTCTCCATCGGGCCTGGTCAGAGTGTTGACCTTGGCTGCATCTCCATATTCTAGAGCTTCTATAGCCTGTTTGATCTGGCGCTTGTTGGCCTTGCCATCCACAGTGAACACAAGAGTGTTGTCTTCTATTTTCTTCATGGCTGACTGGGTAGTCAGGGAGAACTTGATGATGGCATAGTGGTCAAGCTTGTTTCTCCTGGGGGCCCTCTTTCAAGGATATTTGAGTTGTCTTCCAAGATGCTGTGTCTTGGGCCATTGGAATGTAGTGGCCTGCAGATCTTTTTTTTTTTTTTTTTTTTTATGACTGTGGATGCCTTTCAGTACTGCTTTCTTGGCTTTCAAAGCCTTTGCTTTGGTTTCAGCTCTGGGGGGGCAGGGGCTTCCTTGTTCTTCTTCGGCGCCATCTTCATGAAAGGGCTATAAATTTTTTTGTTTATTTTTGAGAGAGGGAGACAGAGTGTGAGTGTAGGAGGACAGATGGAGACACAGAACCAGAAGCCATGTAAAGGCTCTGAGCTGTCAACATGGAGGCCGATGCAGGGCCTGAACGCATGAACCGTGAGATCATGACCTGAGCCAAAGTCTGATGCTCAACCTACTGAGCCACTTGAGTGTCCCAGTACTTTTATAAAATTTTAAAAAATGTTTAAGAGAGAGAGGCTGAGTGGGGAAAGGGCAGAGAGAGAGTGAGGGACAGACAGAATCCCAAGCAGACTCTGCACTCTCCACGCAGAGCCAGACATAGGGCTCAAACCCATGAACCATGGGATCATGACCTGAGCTGAAATCAAGAGTCAGATGCTTAACGGACTAAGCCACCCAGGTGCCCCAAGGCCAGTACTTTTAGATTGCTTACCTTGTCTCGGTGTCCTTGTTGTGCTTAAGTGGATCCAAGAAATTGTTAGTCTTAACCTTTTGGTATTTTAGCATAACTTAAGGAGATCTATTAAAACCAGCTACACGGAGATATGTTTGTTGGGTATTCTATCAATATTGTACATTGGAGCTACATTGAAAACCATCCAAAAAGAAGAAAGAAAGATGTTACTCAGGTGAAAATTAAGGCAAATAAACCAAATATTAACTAGGTAGTCAAATTCCACAAAATGTGCATGTTGAAGAGGAGATTAATATACATGAAAAGCCATGATACAGCCCCTAAAATCAAGCCATAGAGATTTAATGTGATCCTAAATGACTTGCAAATACTTTGTATTTACAGAGGTAAAGAGTTGTGACATTTACCGGGGTGCATTTACTTAATGGGAGACAAGTCTTTTAGAATAACAATTCCAAAATAAACAGAGCAAGATTTCCTATTAAATTAAAACAAATCTTCACTTCTCTGATACGTGATAGAGGATAAATATTTAAAAAGAAAACTCACCAACTGCATGGACCACTGTGTTCTGAAAAAGATGCCTAGGTGATGCTGTTCTTAGCAAACTGAGCCTTAGTCCTGACTGGAGACATAATTAGTGGGAGTGGGGTGAATGATGCCTATATAGGCCCAGTGCTGTCAGGATGACAGATAAGAACATTTGACAAAGAACTTGCCAGCACAGATGGCTGTAGGCAGTAGCTTTTTCATATGATAACCTGACAGATTGTCCATGAGTTGTAACTTGTAAAAAGACACTGCCCTGAATTTCAGTGAGGACACTTGAAGTCTTGTCTCTTACTTTTTCCTTGCTGTGTGGTTGTGGTTTCTTTGGGCTTGAGTTTGCTCCTCTCTATCGGGGAAGACTGGTACAAATGATAGCATGGATCTCTCTGGCTTTCAGCGCTGATTTTTTTGGTTAGTGGTTGTATCAGTGATTTTTAAAAAGTACAGTGATGGTGTGATTTTAAACACAACAGGTTCAAATGTTGCCTTTAATTCTTTAGTTTTGTATAAACCCCAAATGGGAGAAAAACAGACTGTAGATTAAGTGCCATACATTTTAGAAAAAAGCTAAGCTCTATTTTTTAAACACAGAATATCAGCAACTCAGATATATGTTAGGTTTACTTACTGACACATATTTTTAAGCTCCTTAAGTATTGATAAGTATTTATGTACTGTTTTACATTAAATACATTTTAAATATTGATCCAGAATGTGTATTTGAGATTACCCACCTACAACAATGAATAGAAGCCTTTTGTGTTAACACTTAGTAGTTAGATTGTTATAATTAATCCATTTTTGCTGGTTTCTACCAATATTGCAAGTAATGACAAAGACATTTTCAGTTGTTAGTCTTCTTACAGTCCTGAAGCTGAAGAACTGGATTAGTAAGTAAAAGGAAGGAACCTGCTGTGTTACTTGACATCTCTTAGGAAACACCATTATATGTGTATGTTCAGTCTACTTGGCTGAACCATTAAAATGTATGTGGAAGTGATGCAGAAATACACAAGTGTGTAGAACTGACCTGTCCATCTTCCTGAGAGAGTCCCTTGCTTTGGTCAGTGGATCTCCTGCAATCATTTGCTGCATGCAAATATAATTTAGCAAAGGATAGTTGATTTCCATGAAAATGACCTTTTTTCCTTTTTCGAAGTTAATCAGAGATAACTTTGTTGTGCTCTGGTAGCCACTGCATTCAATTAAAAATGCCATCTTTCTCTTTCATTAGCTATTTTATACTTGACAAGTGATGCCAATAAAGAAATGCAAAACAGGTTAAAATAGGAAAGAGGAGGGGAAAGAATTTCTGATAGAGACCAAGAAGACCACAGACATTTGGGTCAGATCGGCTGTATGGCTGTTATCTGAAGAGACACCATTGTGTGAAACCTCCATAAAGAGTTAGAAGACACGCACGGGCTGAGGCTACGGTGAAGGGACACATTTTACAGTTGTGTAAAATTTTAGAGGTTGAAAATGTACTTACTATCACCCAAATCTGAATTTGTTTCCTTAGCTTTGCTTTTGCATTCAGAACTGAATTAGGCCAACTTCCATTGCTGCAGGTTTTTTTTCCACAAGTGTGAATAAAGTAGGAAGCCCTTGAATAAAGCATCCTTCTCAAGACTAGCATCAGCAAACTGTTTTATACATTCACGTATATGGAGCCAAGTTGATGTATTTGAAGTGCTTTTCACAAATTTATTTGGCTCATTAGTAGACTTATATGGAAAAAATCATCTTCTGATAGTTTTCGAATAGAAAGTGAATTGAAAGGGCTGCTCAGCTGAACAGCCTCAGACAGACCTGTCAGTTCAGTTTTCAACTCTTAGCCTGCACCTGTGGGACTTTTGAAAGTAGTTAACATTAATCATAACTTCCTTTATGTTTTGTAATTAGTTCAGGAAGAAGGAAAGCCTGGGGCTTCCTTTTTGTAGATCATTTCTATCATGGACTCTTTGGGAGAGTGGTTGACAACTTTTGAAATGGGCTCATATTTCAGGGTTGGAGTTGCAGAGAAAGCTGTACTTGGGGCCACTGACCTAAAGCTCACATCGGCGCTCTTGGTGTCGTTAGCTTGTCTACTAGTAGTGTTTACCTTGCCACTTCTTTTACTCAGGCAGGCTCTGCTCAGTCTGTAGACAGGAGAACTGGGGCTTAGCACTGGAGGATCTCTGGAATGAGTCATAACATTGAAACCTCTTCACCGTGTGACATACCAGCATATTTCCTGTGAGCTTCAGCTTCCATACCAGGCTTTAGGTGAGGGGTCAGGCCGTGGAGGTATTGGCATACTGGTAAGGACTTGCGTATAGTTAAAGTCTAACATCACAAGCTGATATCCAAGTTTGTAATGTATGACCTTGCCTAGGCTTAAACCCGTAACAGGGACTCCTGAGGAGCAGTATGGGAAGTTGCAGTTAAACTTGGGTCAGATGACTGGAGGTCTAGGTATAAGCTAAGTCTTCACTCCTTCACTTGTTTGCAAATTCAGTCTGTGTGCATGTTGTTTGAGATCACTTCTGCTTCCTGATTAGGGGCCTGGGGTTGTTGGCGAATCTCCTGCACTATCTGATGTGCTCTATGCTGTGAATGAAGTTGAATTTCATTGTCCTTGGTATCTGGCTTGATAAGTGATGATGACCAGTACACAGAATCGTGCAGGCTTTGCAGTCCCCGGAAATAGCGTTGTGGTGATGGGTTTGATGACGGTAATCTTCACTGAGGTGCAGGGAAAGATAGAGAACAGTTTCCATTTTTCAAGTGGATGTGCCTGTCCTAAGAAAGTAACCTGTAGTTTCATGGAATTTCCCTTTTTATTTGTAGATATAATACTTTGCCAAGCAGAAGAACCCTGAAAAATTCAAGATTAGTGAGTAAGAAAGACGACGTGCATGTCTGTATCATGTGTTTACGTGCCATCATGAATTACCAGGTATGTTTGCGTTCTGATTCTTTAAAAAAAGTCTGGAAAATTCTGTCAGATTCGGATCTTGTCCTCTTTGGTTTGTTTGTATTTCTATTTGAAGTAAATATCAGGATTTAATGCAATTCTACTGGGAAAAGGGGTGGCTCATTTTAATGCTCCGTTTAACTCCCTGCCTTTTTATTTTAATTAGCATTTATTTAGAGGCAAGATGTTTTCCTCCTGCATCCATAAACTTGTTTAGATTAGTTGGTGAATGTTTGTGACCACTTAGGACAGAATAAGCCACTGATTCTGAGCAATAATGGATCAACTTCAGAACATTAGGAATGAGGGGCACCTGCGTGGCTCAGTCACGTGAGCATCTGACTCTTGATCTCTCTCAGGTCATGATCTCCCTGTTCAGTGGGTTTGAGCCCCATGTAGGGGACTCTGTGCTGACAGTGTGGAGCTGGCCTGGGATTCTCTCTGTCCCCCTCCTCCACTTTGTGTGTCTCTGTGTGTGTGTATGTGTACTCTCTCTTTCAGAATAAATAAATAAACTTAAAAAAAAATTTTGGAAAAGCATTAGGAGTGAATAGACTCTTAAATTGGTCAGTGGTTCTCAAAGTGTTATATGGTAAAAACGTGAGAAGTTACAATTACTGTCAATCGGGTTTAGTGGTTCTTAATCTTGATAAGAAGCACCTGGAGGATTCTTGTTACAAGGGCAGATTCTTCCTGCAGGTGGTGATGATGCCGGTATCCCCAACATGACAGGGAGAGAGACAGCTTAACTGTGAGTTGGATTAACTTTCACAGCAAAGTGGAATTTGGCCCCTGGATAGGGTCTCAGTTAGATGAGTGGAACCAGGGGGTAAGAATCAGAAAACATAATTCACATATAAAAACAGGATTTGATATCCATAGGTAGGGATGCTAATGGTGGGTCCAGGCAGAGGTGGAAAGTAAATGTGTAGGTAGATGGTATTAGAATTCAAACCTAACATAAGAAGGGACAAGCATTTTTCTGTCAGTCAGTAATTTTTGAGCATTGCTGGATAGACCCTTCTCTGGGCAGAGGGAATAAATGCCCCAGGGAACCTACTTTCTAAGGAAAGGGTGACAGGAGATAAATGGTAAAACATGCAGTGTTTGAGATAATAAAGATGATGAGCTCACACAGAGTGCTTCCTAAGAGGACCAGTGCTTTTAAGCCTAGTACTTAATTTAAGCTCGTAATAGTCCTGTGAGATTGGTAATACTACTCTCCCCCATTTTACTGATGAAGAAACTGAGGCATAGAGAAATTAAGCTTTACTTAATTAGCCAGCAAGTGGTGGAGTCTGATTTAAATCCAGGAAAACGGACTCCAGGGAACTGTTACTAATGCTGTAGAAAAAGTAGGCAGGAAATAGGAATGGGAAGTGATGAAAATGTGTGTTCAGTATTAATTAGGCCAACTGGGAAAGTGTCCCGGAGAAGTAGCACTTTTTCATAGTAGCAATTTGAACGAGGAAACAAGGTAAGAGATTTTAGGGCAAGAAGATTCTAGGTAGAAAAAAGGGTGAGTGCAAAAGCCATGGGGCAGGAATAAGTCTGATGTGAAGTCCAAGAAGGAGGCTGGGTTGGCCTGATTAGAATACGCAAGAAGAAGAGACGGAGATGAAATCTGAAGTTAACATGGGGTCCTGACTGTAGAGGGCTTTATTAAAAGCCAGTGAAAGGATACTGGCTTTACTGTGAGTGGAAAGCTGTTGAACAATTCTGAGGGAAAATGTGATGTGATCTGATACTTGATTTTAGCATGACATTCTAGCTTCTGTGTTTAGGATTGACCTTGGAGGGGCAAAAGCAAAAGGAGGTAGATCGTTTAGAGGGCTGCTGCATTAATTTTAGTTGAGTGTTGATAGTGGTATGGGCCAGGATCAAAGGAGCAGAGATGATGACGGGGGGCAGGATTCTGTTTTTCTTTTCATGGTAAAGGCAACTTGGATATGCGGTGAGGAGAGGAGGGTGGCTCCGAGGTGTTTGTCTTGGGCCCCTGTACAATGGAGTTGCCATCTACTACAGTGAGGAAGGCTGCAGCCTGAGCAGATTCGGGAGACCAGATTAAGAGTGAAGTTTTAGGGATGTCACTTTGTAGTCATCCAGGGGCACCTGGGTGGCTCAGTTGGTTAGGCGTCCAACTTCAGCTCAGGTCATGATCTCACGGTTCTTGGGTTCAAGCCCCATGTTGGGCTCTATGCTGACAGCTCAGAACCTGAAGCCTGCTTCTCATTCTGTCTCTTTCTCTCTGTGCCCTTCCCCCAGTCAGGCTCTGTATCTCAAAAAATAAATAAATAAATAAACATTGAAAAAAAATTGTTTTAAATGATGTCTGTAGTCCTCCAAATAGAGATCTTAAGTAAGGGGTTGGATTTGCCAATCTGAAATTCAAGGCAGAGATCTGAGCTGGAGTTAAAAATTGGGAATTAATAGATGGCGTATAAAGCCAGCGGAGTGCATGAGATCAACAGAGAAGCAAAAAGAGCCAAAATATGAACCCTGAGGCATTCTGTTTAACTGTCAGAGACCTGAGGAAAAGTAGAGAGACTGAGAAGTAGACAGGGAGGGAGGAGCCAAGTACCGGAAGTGTTTGAAGGAGAAGAGAGTGCTCAGCTGTGACGAGTGTTGCTGCTCTGTCAGGATGTGCGGTGAGACTTGGCCATGCACTTAGCAAAGTGTGGGTCACTTTGGCATTTTTGGGATGAACAGATTGATTGGAGAGGTGGGGATGATACACCTGATTAAAGTGACTGCAGTGCGCCTGGGTGGCTCAGTCAATTAAGTATCTGACTTAGGCTCAGGTCATGATCTTGCAATTCGTGGGTTCCAGCCCCACATTGGGCTCCACACTGACAACGCAGAGCCTGCTTGGGGTTCTCTTTCTCTCCCTCTCTCTCCCTTCTCCCCTCAAAATAAATATGTAAACACTTAAAAAAAAAAAAGCGATTGCAAGAAACAGGAGGAGGAGACTGTGAGTGCTTCGAGTTTTGCTGTAGACATTAGTGGAGAAACAAGGTAGTAGGTGGACACAGGTTGTAGGGTCAAGAGGGATTTTCCTGTTTTTACTGTTTAAGTTGAGTTTTTATGCTAATGACTCAGGGAGAGATACTGAGGGCTGGGAGAATTGCTGGAGCCTAGGATGTTCTTCAGCTGGTGGGTGGGAAGGGGATCAAAGACTCAAGTGGAGGGAGTGGCCTTGGTTTGGAGCCCAGGAGGGTTCCTCTTCAGGAAGAGAGGAGGAGGTAAGTGTGTGTCTGTGGGCGGATTGATACTGGGCTGGGAGCTTTTAGAAGATTTGGGTTTTTTTTTTTTTGATGGTTTATATTTTCTCTGTGTAATTAGAAATAAAGTCACGAACTGAGAGTCAGCGTGGAGGAGAAGGAATAATTCCTCAAATCAGAATCAAGAGTGATTCTGGAGCCTGTTGTTGAACTTGTTACTTCTTTAATAAATGATTGCTAAAATTTTCATAAATACGTTCAGGCACTGATGTGCTAGAGACATAAATGCATTTGTCAATGCTATAAAGTACCTTAGGTAGAATTTTCAAGTTCTTTTTCCTTTTATTATTTTTAAATCAACGTGGACAGTCCCCTAAGCTGACCCTAATGCTCTGTTTCACATTAATTTCAGTATGGTTTCAACATGGTCATGTCCCATCCACATGCTGTCAATGAGATTGCACTGAGCTTGAACAACAAGAATCCAAGGTAAGCTTAGTTTGTCATTGTTTGGGTATAAATCTACCTACAGAAAGCAGAGAGCTAGTCAACACTTAGCCAAGTTAGAGTTTGGAAACTTTCAAATGTACCTCTTTGGATTAAGATTGCCAGTGGACTCATTGGTTGTGTAGAATTTTCTTCTCAGCAGAGTTACAGTTTTACATGGGGTGGAGTTGAGCAGCTGGGGAAAACATTACCCCTTCACTGTTTTCTTCAAGCTTTCACTTCTTTCCAGGCCTGGTTTTTAGCATCCTTACAAATTTTGCCAGATTTGGTGGAGAGCATGAGTTTGCCAGGTTGTTAGGACTGGGGCCAGGAGAGTCTTGATACATACTTAGCTACACCACTTACTGCTGACAGCTAACTACATCCATTATTCCTTGTCCACACTTTAGTTGCAACCTTTGCATAGGTAATTTTTATTACCAAACAAAAAAAGAAACACAAAACAAAAATAACTGTGCACATGGATTGCTTCTTCTTCTCACTTGCCTCTAAAGGCCAGTGCTGTATTATTCACACCACACATTATCTCTAGAAGCCAGTCTTCACCAGTTTATTTTAGTTACTGTAATGTGTTTTCCATTTTGGCGAGGGATCCTGCATTTCACAAGTCTTCCTCCCTTCACCAGATACCTCTGCATAGACAGTATATTGAAACACTGGTTAATGCAACTAAAAAATCTGATTTCAAATGAGATCCTTTTTGATACAGAATGAAATGCAAACTGTAAAGTCCTACTTTAAATGTTTAATATTCTTTCAGACTGAATAGTTTTTGCAACTTTGTGATTGTTTCCTTAGTTTACTAGGAAATCTGGGTATACTTCTTTGTTCTTAAAACAGTTGTCTTGTGGATTATCAGGCCAATCGTTATTTAGAGGTTGGCAATAGCTTTTTCCCGGAAAAAAAAAAAAAAACCTGAAGTGATCTTATTCTGAAAAAACAATGCTTTTCTTGACGTTGTATTTGACAACTAGAGACTGTATTGCCGAGGATTTCCTTCTAAAAATATTTCAGACGGCGTTTTATTTTCTCTTCTTGAGTCAGAGAAAATATTCTTGTATGAGCACTGCTATAATCCAACTCCTTTCAGATCTCCTGCATATAAAGAAGTGATGATGGAAACTTGCCTTGTCATAGGGGATCTTTATAGTAACATCTGTGAATTAGCAGATTTGAAATATAGGACATGAATTTCAGTAGATTTTGAATTTGGGGGTCAAATGTTATTTCTCTGACTGTAAAACCAGAGAAGATCTTTAACCAATGGGATATTTTCCTGAATATTCCCAAGTTCCCAGTTGTCTTTAGCTTACCAATAAAACTTTTTCAAACATATTGTACTGAGTCACCCACTGTTAGAAGCGAAGGACTAGTATTCCCAGAATGAATTTTCATTACTGAGTAATTTTAATTTGTAATTTTGGTAGCGGGAAACATTTCTTCCAACTTTGCTACCTCAGATAAATCACTTACATAGAAGTTAGTAAAGGTTTAAAAATGTACTTTAATATAAATATACCTGAGTAGCTATGTAAGAAACTTACATGAACAAATTATTTGATTATCATAGACATTTTGTAAGGAAAGGAGAGCTGATTCACCATGTTACCTTGACTGATTTTTTTTTTCTTGCTTGTTTCTTCGTGTTTCCATAGAACAAAAGCCCTTGTTCTAGAACTATTGGCAGCTGTTTGTCTTGTCAGAGGCGGGCATGAAATCATTTTATCAGCATTTGACAACTTTAAGGAGGTAGGATACTTTGTAGTTTGCTCACACAAACATGTTTGGACACCTTTGAACAGAATGATTTACATTTTCTGTGTGTATGTTTTAGTGAGATATAATTGCATGTATTAGTGTCAGGTGTACAGTATTTGTATATGTTGCGAAGTCATCAGCCTAGTAAGTTAGTTAACATCCATCACCATGTTTTACCTTTTTATTTATTCTGGGGCCTACAGGGTAGACTAGTTAATTTTCTAAGACGTCACTGAGGAAGAAGTAGTGAACTTAGTCTAAATATCTTAAATGGATACATGAAGCTTTCTTTGATGTCACATTTCCAAGAAAAGTTAAAAACTATTTGCAGGATCCATTTCCCTTTGGAGAACATGGAATTGCCAGTTTGAAAACAGTTTGCAAACATGTTTTGTTAGACGTCTGTGGTTTTCATTATGGTTGATGCTTGAGCGTCCACCATGTACATTTGACGAACTCTTCAGTCACAGCTACTTTCCCCAAATCGCTTACATTACCGTTGCTGTGCTGGATGCCATAAGAAACCTCTCAAATAAATACAGACACTGATTTTAACAGTTTGTAGTCTTAACCAGGTGATCCTTTCCCAGGCAAGCAGTAAACCAGTGCACTTGCATGGTTGAAAATGGAAACTGAAAGGACCACAGAAGAAGAAACAATTACATACAGATAGCATGGTACCAAGGATTGTGGCCCATGGTATCAAGACATCATGACTGAAATGACCGCTAATTTCCCTTAGGGGTAGCATGCAGGGTTACATGGCCCCAAAGAATGCCTGTTTGCTCCCCTCTATGTGCCTAACATCTGAGGCTACTTTGAGTTGGGACATTACAAAAAGAAGTAAAGGCATTTGGAGCTCAGGGTTCAGTAGAGTCGTCAGCCAAACTCTGCCTTCTCCTGGCAGTCTTGTTTGATTCCAGTTCTTTTGGATTAGAATCAGATCTCACAGGGACTTGCAGACTCTCACTCATCTTTCTGGGGAGCCTCTGGAGTAGACCCCAGCTGGTATTTATTGAAGATCTACCATATGGCAGGGGCTGTGCCCAGGTCCACACATGTAATCACGTGGTTCTGTGAGACTATGTGAGATAAGTATTAATGTCTACATGTTCTAGGAGAATCAACTGAAATTCCAAATATAATTTGTTTGTCCATGGTCGCATAGCTACATGAGTGGCAGAGCCAGGACCAGGATTTGGTGCTCCTGATTCTGAACTTCCATTTCAAGTGGCATTTGGGCCCAGTTGTGCGTGAAACTCTTGGGGAAAATACTGAATTAGACAGGACCTCAGAGCCATTTCTGCCACCCTACTCTTAATTGGGCTTACTACCCCTGCTGCCATATGTTCTAGAGAGTGACCTATGGTGCTGTATGTGGGTTAGAAAGCTTCAAAGATGTCAAAAGGGACAACAGTCCTCCTGCCCGCTTATTTGTATAGTTTCCCTCCCTTCAGTCACTCACTGTTTTAAGATTTTTATATTAACCATTTTCTTAATGCCAGCTATGGACAGAATCAAATACTGTCTTTTTATCTCTTCAGCATCAGTGATAGTGAAAAAATTTCCAGGTTCTAAGAAAATGATGAGGAATAATAGTGAATCTTTAAATTCAAACTTAGGCTTCATAAACAAAGAGAGGCTTTAGAGATGAGAATGTATGAGTGCTGATCTGTGAATGTGTTTATATATCCTGTATTAGTACATAAAATTTATAAATAAGAGATATATGTTTGGGTGGACGGATCTAAAAAGAAAGTGAAACAGCATGCTATACTAATGTAACCCCCACATCTTTATCTTTGGGTCGTACTTGAACATATCACATCTAATTCCTTTCACTCTGGAAGCACTTACCATACAGTTATCATGACCCTTGTTATAATATGAGCAGTATCACAACTAGCTTCTGATTATATTGCAGGTCAAATGATGTCCTAAATTATAATTGTATACAATCAGTAATCATTAAAATCAGTAATTCATGAGATGGATGTTAATTTTGTTTCCTTTTAGGTAAAATAGAATTTCTTTCCTATGCATAATAGTACGTGGAGAATTGAGTCTTAGTGATCTGGTATCAGAATTGTATATGGTTTAGCCATTGAGGGCATTGTGTGTGCTTAGTCGAAAAAAAGTAATCTTACTAGATCTAATGGCTTAAGTAGTAATATAAACTAAATTAATTTTGACTTAGAATTTTAAAAGCTTTGACCAAAATCTACCTCATTTCTGTAATTACTTATATAAGTGGTGGTGTTTAAAATCTGATTCTCGTTGGACATCTCCTTGGATGGCATTTCCATCTTAAAGAAACAGTGCCATGTGGGAAGAAAAGGGACGAGAGTCGGGTAGTGTGTGTCCTCTTGGCATGCATTAACGTCAAGGTGGAGTCCGTGTCAAAAGAACATCAAGTCATTTATCTGTTCAGTCTAGGGTGAAAAAGCATATTTGTATTGATGCTTTTTTTTTTTTTTAATGTGATGCCATTGTCAACCCAGAATCTTTTTAAGTTTCTTTATTTTCTCCTATTTTATATGAGGGAATTTATTTTCTTATACATCATAGTTAAGCGTGTATTCTTTAATCATTTAAGCAAAACTGTCAGTGGAATCTTCTGGGTTTAGGGAGATGTGAGAGGCAGCTGTTGCTGATGAGAAAAAGTTGTACTTAGGTTCTCAGATGCTTGTGCAGATAGGGTTTGGATGACAGTAATCTGCATTGAGCTATTCATGGCAGAGAGAGTAGCATAGCAGGTAGTAGGTAGGATACTGGGGAGTAGGGCCAGCAAAGAGTCTTTACCTTCAAGAAGATTGTTTTTAAAGCTTTTTATCCCTGTTAGTAAGTTGGGATTCCATTCACCTCCTAAAGAAAAATGAAGGGATTTTCCCCTGTTTTCACCAGGACTGATGGAAGGTAGTGGTGGGGTTCAACATCGGAAATCAGTATCTTGTTTTGCAAATAAAGTAATTTGCAGTAGAGAAGCAAGTCCCTTTGGGCTTTGATCATTGTTAAGCATAGCCAAGCATACTGCCACAGTATGGTGTTAGATTCTAAGGGAAGTTTAAAGACCATGTGTCTTCAGTATGTAGCAGGATGTTTTTCCCTATCTACATCTTGAACCAACAAATCCATTCTGTCTTATTTGACCACCACAGATTAATTCAAATGTAAATTAAAAGAAGGTATCTTTTAGCTTTTGATGGACTTTTATGTATGATTCCTTAAATTTCTCACATTTCAATTGAAAGTCACAGTCTCAACAAGTGTGGTTTTCTGTTTTTGCAAAGAATTTCGCCACATGTCTGAAGTACATGCTTTAGGAAAAGAGGGAGCATTTCCAGTGTAATGATTTCTGATGGCAGGAAGAATATTAACTCAAGGCCTTGCTTTTGGTGGGTGTGGAGGTTGGGGCTAAGCCAAGTGTCACTGGGCAAGCGCATACATCACCTCGGTGTATCTGATGATAAATGAGTTCTTATACCAAGCATGGTTTACAACATATCTGAAAATGTAAGTGTAAGGAGTCCAGAAAGACTAACCCATTCAGTCAGCCATTGTACTCCTTGAATACCTTTCTCTTAATTTTTTTTTCCTAAATAAAAGGAATTAATACATTTGGTTTTGGTGTTGAAACATCTCCTTAGGAAAATTTGTGGTTCTGAAGTGAAGACCAGGAAGAGAACAAGGAGTCACTTTTTTTTTTTTTTTTTTTTTTTTGGCCTACAAGCTAATTTAGCCACGTACAGGGACGTATTACCATCTTGTCTGAATCGATACTTTCTTAGTTGCAGCGCAGTATATGTTTTTGAACAGTTGGGCTACCCCACAGGAAGGAAAAATATTTGGAAGCAAAGGTTGGTATTGCAACCAAAGGTTGCTCTGTTGGTATTTGCATTAGTTCAGGGTCTTGTTTGCAAGAACCAGAAACTGACTCTAACGTATAGGAGAAAAGGTTGATTGGAAAGATGTTGAGAAGGACACAGGGTTGACAAGGAGTCTAGAGAAACAGCCCTAGAAAACGGGCAAGCGTTTGTAAAATGTGGCTAGACTCAGGCTGTGTGCCCTTGAAGCCTAGCCACCATAAACAGTTCTTGAGGCTCTCATCATGCTTTTTCTTCTCTCCCAAATACCATGGACCATAGCTAGTGATCCACTAAGGTCATAAAAGTACACTTATGGGTAAGGACACGAACTAGCCCCACTTTAGAGTTATAAACGCTACTTAACCCAATATCCCTTGGGAAACTTGAGTTCTTCTACCTAGACCTTGCTCTCTCCAACTTTTCTTAGTCTATTTTTTTGCATTCTATTCTTTGATAAGTTTGACAAATGGCTTTTAAGAAAGCCTCTCCAAAAGTCTGGCAAAAAATGCTCCTATTTGAAATCCGAGGGAAAGATACTAAGGCACACAGGCTCTGCAATGGAGTAGCCTGCTATGATACTAGTAATAAAACTCTTGGAGGGCTTTGAGCTACCAGCTCCCCCAGACTGCTGGAAGGTGCACCTGGAATTCATCAGGATTCCAGAATGATTATAACTGTGTTCTCATCTGCTTCCAAAATGACAGCATCTGGCTTTAACAAATAAGCCTGAGGCCTGAGTTTGGTTATTAAAGGCCTAACTCCTTCCCACTTCTGCCCTTTCAGTGTAAAGAGGTGGAGCCTTGTGAAATGAGTCACTCAAGGCCACCAGCGCTCCTGTACACAACACTCTTGGCAGTAGCCATTATTTTTTTGGCCTTTTTCTAGAAGGCTTCTTAAGAAAGCTGATGTGGTTTAGCTACTGGGCACCGGAAAGCACTTGTGCTACACATTATTAACTTGATTTAAGAAAGCCTGTCAAGTTTTATTTACAATGGGCCAAATTGGGCAGGAAGGAGAGCAGACATGTTGGTGTGATTCCAACATCCTTCTGAGTTTAATCCCATCTAATCTAACCTCTTGAACATTTGAGAGTGTAGGATTATAAATTCAGCACAAGACCATCCA